CAACCATTATCATATGGAAAGATTAAAAGAGCTTGGCATATCTCTCAACAATTTTTATTGGTAAATTACTCATCTTGAATTTCATACTATCTGGAATTTCTTCAGCCTATTCAAATGATAGCACTTGCTGTTCAAGAAGTTTTAAACTGAAATACTTTTCTTGCTTAGTTTGAAAGTAGAAAGTATGATCACTCATTCCAACTTGCTCAAAAAGTACTATTTTGATAAAAAAAGTATTGGAAACTTACAGTCAGGAACTTGCTGCTTAAACATCATGTTACTATAAAGATCAACTTGCCCTGATTTTCTTCTAGTAACGCCCTAGACCACATATTTTTGTTTGTTATTAAACTTTGTGAGCATGACTCTAATTATACACTGGACTACTGGATCAGGAGAAACTAACGGTCTTGGAAATACATCTCTTGCTTGATTGAAACTAATATTGAGCTTATCAGTCTCAACCTTATTAATGATTATAAAGTTGAAATCTAAGAGATTTTAAATTGTCTCAAAAGCTATGATCAGCTTCTTAACTTCTTATTTATCTCCTCCTACTTTCTCCTACATATTTAAAAGGAGCAAGGCTTGTATTGGCAGCTTGCACTAATATGTGAGCTGAGGCAACTGATCAACCCTTATATCTTCTTTAGCTCTGAATAAACTAGAGTCTTCAACTGTAATGAAAACCAATTTCATATCGTGATAAGCGCAAACAAGATAATCTTCAAAAACTTAATAGTATTTAACTAAAATGGCAGTTATACATTATGATAGGTTTTACTGTTGATTAAATCCGGTATCCCTAGGATTTAAATGACTGAGCTTACATCTTCTCTTAATAAGCTTACTATCTTTATTGCATCTACTGATCCTTCCTCAACAAATAGTAGATAATCATAGGTGATGTTCCAACTTTTGATTTTTGCTAGAAAAATTAATTTTGAAATGTTACCTTTCAAAGGGATTTGAAAGATCTGCTTTTTAGTCTAAGAGTGCCAGACTTGCAGCAAATATTCAGCATCTCCGAATGATTATTTGACCTTCTCTTGCATTATTTGCACTAGGACTGGAACATATTCCATCTGTTCATTGTAATAGCAAGTATCAATAACTTTATAAATGTCTAAATAAAAGTTAGCCAGGTTTTATATACAGTATGAATAAATAAAAACATAATAAGTATTAGGATTTAACTTACCTTGTAAATTTAGATAATAGGAGACATCTCTGAAATAATCATCAGCTCTGCTATTTAGATGATTCTAATCAATCGGATGAAGCCAATCGTGCTTTTACCCGATCTAAGAGTTGTTATTCAAATCTATGTTTCCTCTAATTTTGATCTACTTTGTATTCATATGAAATTTTCTTAATTATATTTTTTAATCTATTTTTGCTTTTAAAGTTATTAGTTATGAATTCGACTTTTTTTTGAAAATTCTCGTAAATGGGGTTTTGGGGTTTTGGGGTTTTGGGG